TATTTTGTGTTGTGAAAACTTATAAACCAATATTATTACAACTTCAATTTAATTTCAACATTCATTAGAATATGTAGAATTTATAAAATACATTAATAATTTGATTTTTATGATGGTTGTTAGAAAATTTTGATTAATTATTTTGTGAGAAGTTATAAACAAATATTATAACTAATTTCAACATTCATTATAATATTTGAGAACACTAAATTTTAGGCATATAGCCAGTAGTAAAGTAGAGAACACTAGATATAAGTTTAAAATAAGGAAAAAACATTTTAAGAAATAATTGAATTTGCATATTAATGAACACTTCATGATTCATCAAGCAGTCCTTAATCTATAATAGTATTTTTCTAATATATTTCAATTATTTAATATTTTCTCCATTACACTTGTTAGCACTCATTTTTTTCCTTAAGAATAAACTTATTTATGAAGTACCAGTGTTGTTAAACCAGCTTGGAGTTTAAAAAAAGGTTAACTCATAGCATTAAGGTTTATCATATAGATGGCACAAAGTTTAGAAAATCTATTACTGAAATCTCTAGGCTTATGATATTTTTCTGACTAAAATATTGAGTTAGCTTTTTAAAAATGGGCTCAAAATGAGCTATTTAACAATACTACGAGACTACACCAGAAATTACATTGAATTGATAAGTCCTATTACTAGGTAACATCAAATACCAAGGAAATCATTAAAAATCAATGGTATAGTCAGGATTTATTCAATGGAAAGTGTGGGGGGGGGGTTGGTTATGAAATTGGAGGCAAAACTCCCAACTCTCTATAAATCTATAATGCTGAGACCTGCCTATGATTATTCTTTTTATCAATATATAATATTAAATATTTTTATAATATCATTTAAGTTGACTGATCAAGAAGTACTAATTCTAACATCTGTAAACATGTTTTGTGATTTATAAAACCTATGAGGACTCTCAATATAAAGTAGAAAAAAAGTTTTTAATAAAATTAAAAAATTTGCATCGTGCAAAAATTAAAAATTTATAAATATATGGTTTTTATTTAGTGCCTGACTAATACTTATTAACTCAAGTTTTGTAAACCATTAATAAAACATCACATTTTAAGCATGAAGTGAGACAAGTTTTTGGAAACACAATTATGAAACAAATGCATTTTATTGCTTTAATCTGTGTGGTAGCTGGTTCAAAGGAAAAAAAAAATATTGGTAAAATATGATAAAAAGGAAAAAATTATTTGAAAAATGGGAAAAATTTATATCAATTTCTAACAATCTTGATTATTTGTTTTGTGTAAATTATTTAGTATGTCCCAAATATTATTTTGAACTCTCTTACCTTTTTCTATTGGATATTATTTTTAAATAATATTGTGATAAATATTTTTTTTTTTTAAAATAAATCAATTGTTTATAAGAAAAAATTATACAATCTAATCATTTTTATAAGTTCACCTCCATTTTATGGCGATTTCAAGGTTTGTCCAGGTTAAGGGTTTTCCCTCTGATTAATCATTGTCATTTATGACAGTCCTAAGCATCAATATTTGTATTATTCATTTTTCTCAATTCCGCCGCTATTACCTTTATTCATGGTAGGCCTTCCTCTAGGTCTTGATCCTCCTACTTCCATCAATGTGAATCTCTTTAGCCAATGATCTTTTGCCTTACATTCCACATTTTTTCGCATTACCACTCCAATCACTTCTATACCCATTCTTGTTAGCAATTCCTTTATAGTTTTTCTCTCTATCAGCGATACTCCACATATCCATCTAATCATCAACATCTCTAACGTCTAGCAATCTCCTTCAATTTACAAACCTACAGCCTTGGCACAAACTTTCTTTAAGTGATCCTGACACCTTTAAAAATGAGATCTATAACTAGTCGGTGCTGATTAATACATTTCTCTTCCTGTATTACTTTCATATTTTTTATTATGCTCCTATCACATCTCCTTACTCTAATCCACCCCACTTTTAGCACTACCCGACTTAAGGTCACCAGTTTTTCTAAAACTTTCTTAAACATTGTATTAAAAAAAATCATAATAGCACCACCAAAATTCTCTCCCTTCCGGATTTCTCATACAGTAATTAAATCCTCCATGTACTATATCATAACCCTGACTGCTGGTTCCCATATGTCCATTCAGATCACCATTCAGGATAATACCCTCTTCATTAACCAGTCTCTATGTAACCTCTAATAGACTGTGCCAAAATGTTCTCTTCACTTCTTAACCGAACATATGATGATATTAAATCGCATAGTTTTCTATCATGATAATCATAATCTGGTTATCTAGTCTTCTTACTTCTATTACTATGTCCACCTATTTCTCTGCAAACAATACGCCAACGCCAGCCGTACCATCATTAATTCCTTGCCAGAATGTATACCTTTTAATTTTCTTGCCAATCATTCTTGTGCATTACCTCTTGTATGCAACACATATCTATATGCCTTATACGCAGTGCATCGACCACTTCTCCCGTTATGCCCGACAATCCATTCGTAACTCTTAATCTAACCCCGTAAATTGGGTTCTGCATTTATTATCAGGTCGTTTATGGCCGTTATGTTTCACATTCACGAATGTGGTCCCATCAGGTTTTTCATTTCTTTTTGTCGTAGGCGTATAAGGAGGCCCACGGGGTACTTATTTTGAAGCAAAGTTTTTATAATAGGATGCCCTTCCTGAAATCTGTTTAAGTGTTACACCCCGCCAAGGAGAGTGATCCTACTAAAATAAGATAAAATTATATCTAAAAGAGTGTAGTTTTAATTATATATGATTTTATAACACACCATCCTGAAACTGAAAATCAACATTATATTTACGAACAAATTTCTTATCCTATCTTTTACGAAATATGTTTCAAATTTAACAAACAATGGGGCCGAAATGGCAAAGTGACAAACATTTACTATCATGGTATAATTCCAAGCTATATCTAACCCTTTAAAATAAAATGTTGTTGGATAAAATAATAAATAAAGTTAAAATTATTAATGATAGTTAGCAGGACCACTTAAGTCAAGATAGAAACTTAGTAAAACAATCTAAAGCTTCAGTAGAGAGTTTTTCATCAATTGGAAACTTATGAATAGTTTAGTTCTTTTAAGCAATTAAATTTAAATATTAATGTCAAGGAAATGAATAATGCTCGTGATTGTTTATTTATTATTATTAAAATGATTTTTTAATTTAACAAACCAATCCTTTTTTTAAAAAATATTAGGTTTAATATTAGTTTAGGTTTTATATTTAGAATTAGTGATCTGCATCGAGCCTAATTTTTCGCCCAAATTTATTTAAATATAGAAATTAATTTTTATAATTACTTAAAATATAAGACATATGTTATATGTCGTTTAGTTTCAATAAATAAAATCAAATATTTTTATTTTACATAAAAAATTCTATATAAAATTGATAAATTTAGATATATTTAAAAAAATTTCCAAACTCCGACCCGGGCCTAACTTAGATCTCTATTTAGAATATTAAATGATACTACATTGAAATTAGTATTATATAATTAACTTATTTATTATGTCAAAATTAAAACAACAAAAATCTAGTAATTTATTTTGTATCTAATATAAGTAATGATTACTAATAAAATTTAACATTTTTCATATAAAAATTATTTTATTTTGTAATAGTCAAAGTCTTTCCCTTTTATTATATTAAGTATTTTGATCAAATTTAGTAAATAGAATTTTATTTAAAAAAATTGATTTAAATCACTGATTTAAAAAAAAATCGGGGTGATTATAATGGATTTAAATCAAATTGATTTTTATTAGTCAGCCTTAGTTTATATGCATGCAATATCGTAAGAATATTTTTGTGCATTAATCTAAATTATCAGCATTAATTTTTTAAGCTATATAATTAGACCATTTTTTTATAATCAATAGTTCTTTTAAGTGGATTTAAATTTCTTATAGTAATCCTTATAATTTGGTACTAGCTACATTTACGCTGCTTAAAAGCGACGAAATCTAGTCTTTAGCCGAAACTATCCTCAGATTTGGGAATTAGTAGGTATATACATTTAATGTATAACAGCATTTTTGTGCATAAATTTATATTTGTAAATTTAAAAATTGTGGCATTTTAAATCAAATTCCTGGCTACGCGCTAAGTAAATCTTAATTAAAATAAGTTATTTTTAATATTAAAATTTTAGGCAAAGATATAATTAAAAGGTAACAGCCATTTATTATTAATGGTTAAATATTTAAAACACATGCCCTTCCTCCATATAATATAATAATGATTTTCTTTTATCTTTTCCCCATATAAAATAGGATTGGCAGCAAATTAGAAACATAAACATCTTAAAAAATAATTATAAGTAAAAAACCCGGCTTGGAACAGGAGCTGTTAAAGGTATAATTTTAAAGATCTTGTCCTGGATTTGAATAAAATCCACCAGGTCTAAAAATAAGCTTTTAACAAGAACTAAGCCGTTTTAATAAGTAGGAAAATGATGTAAAACCATAAAATTGATCGAACATGATTCAAAATAACGAAATTTAAAAAATTCCGTGGTAGACCATAAAATAAAATGATCACTAAGAAAATTTTTTAATGGTAAATCCTAACGTGTGGTAAGGTAATCGAGGGAAAATAAGCGAATAGGGGACAAGGGAGAATTTTGAGGAATGCAAAATATATAGTAATCCTTTATTCTTTTGGCGGCAACAGTCATTCTTTATCATACATTCATAATCTTGATATTCTTACTGAAAGGATCCAAAGATTGACAGCCTTACCATGCTTATAACCAAAAAGGGTCTTTAACAACTTGGACCGGGGGTGAAAATGATATTTAAAATCGTTAAAAGGTTTTAATTCTCTAGATCTTTTATTTTAATAAAATTTTGAAAACAAATCATAAGCCGAATTGTAACCATAGTCATTAAAGATTATTATTTTTTCGCCAATATGTACTTTGCATAAAATATTTGGTACCCTGAAATAAATACGTCTAGCTATATCCTCCCTTCCCTTCACCCGCTCTTTTATAGCATAATTTGTATATTAAGTACGGGCCATTTGATATCCTTATTTAATTACATTATATTATAATTATCATAACCCAAGAATTGTAAATGATGCTCGTCAAGTAATGCCAATTATAGATTTAATACTTATAATGCAAATTTTATAAACATTCGTAAATAATTTATGATTCACAAAACAAAATTATAGGATTTATGAAATTTTCTTATCAGGTATGGGCATGGCTTGATTTCTCAACCAATTCAAAGCGTCTAATTTTCCTAATTGTTCGAGTTCCTTTCCAACCAAATCTCTACAAAGCCGGTGATATTCATTTATTTGGTTTATCTATTAACACGATTAAAATACAGAAATTATAATTATAGTTAGGGGGAAAAAAATAAACAGGGATAATATTTGGTGAATAATAACATTTTTATCTCAAAAATAAAACAATTAAAAGTTATATTTGATAAAAATATTAGCAAATAATTATGCACTTATTCATTAAATAAAGATAGTATATTTATAAAAATTATTTTAAATTTTTTTATTAGACATTCACTAAGGTGAAATAAACCTCTTGCTGGGTCAATAGCTTTTGGTCAATAAGGTTTGATTGATAGGGTACGAGAGTTAAGGATTCGAACGTTAAAAATGGTATTTCGTTAAAATTGTTCTTTTGAATTGTGTAATAAAATTAAAAAACATAAATATATTAACTATGATTTTAAAAATTCAAATGTCCTGCCTAAGATGTATTAAATAAAATGCAAGATAAAATTTTAGTGATATTGATTAGGGAGATTAGGTTAACTTCAAAAGCTTCATTTATCTCTTTTAGCATTTGGAGAGATAATACAAACAAGAAAAATTAACATAAATATTATGGTATAAAATGATGCTGACGAGTAGCAAAATCGGGAATGGATTATAACAGTAATAAAATAGGATTTATAAATTCTAAAATAATCCTTAAGCTTTTTCTTAAATTAAGTCACAGAGGTTGGGACATCAGGCAAGTGGGTTAACTGGACTGCTAATTTATTCTAATCTTAAAAACTTACATGAATCTATAATAAAATTTATAAATACTTTAGTCTTCGCTTTGATCACGTAACAAGTATTTTCTATCCTTATCCCATAATTTTGGGCCTCGTAATAGCCTGGCTCTATGGTCATGAGCATATTTTCTTGTAAACCGAATGCATCACAATCGTAAGAACTCGGCCTGGTGCTGATGCCGGCTGGACCTAAAAAATTTAAATTTGTTTAATAAAATGTAAAGGAAGAAGAGGGGTCAATGTCTTCCATGCAATGCTTAATGAGAAAGTCAGATAGAGTAAAAATAACGCGCGAACAATTTGAACATAAATGTTGGGTGGATATTAGGCTCATTCGTTTCTTTCCTAAAAAAAAATTGAATATAAAATGGAGAAAGGGGAGATTTCACCCCTTCCATCGCGAATTTGCCTGTTCGTATCATGATTTAACTAATAAAAATTTTCCCCCTAAATACCCCTCCCCCCCCACTATTCCTAAAAACAATAATAACACTATAGAGAAGAATTTGAAAGGAAAATTAATTAAGGTTAATAACTATTCAAAATAACGACTATAATTGAAATTTTAATAATAAAAAAATTAGAAAACCCAAAACTAGATAATTATACATAAAGAGGCACGTTTAACCCATTTTGAATCTTTCAAATTTGTAATAATACTACCTACCTTCGTGCACATTTAGGAAAGATCCCACGCCATGCCCAGTGCCGTGCAGATAGTCCAATCCATTGTCCCATAGGTATTGCCTGGCTAATACGTCTAAACGATAGCCTGATGAAGTTTGTTAAAAAAAAAATGTTTCATCATACAATGTTCACAATCAATCGTTTTAAGACAAATATAAATTTTTTAAAAAAAAAATGTAACATAGCTTAATGGTCTGCAATAAGTGATCTTAGAGATCTCCAATAAAATTTACGGAGAACCAAACTAATAATCGGCCCCCTCCTCTTAGAAGAATTCTGGTTACGCCTGATGATGAAGTAGAGTACACCAATATAAAAAATATAAACGAATTTTATTTAAAATAAAGAAAAATAACATATCCAATCTTAACTCAATATTTAAAAAATGCAATGTTAATGACTCTAAGTAATCAAAAGACGATAATTCAATTTTCATACCTGCACACTACATACAAATGTAGTATATGAATTTGGTTCAAATACTTCTTCTTCAAGCCTCAACTCATAAACCCTAAACAATATAACTTAAACTCGGCGTTTCAAAGCGAGCATTTTGATATATGTTTTATTTCCATAGAAAAACCTTTGCAATTCTTAGGGAATACTGCCCGGGTTAAAGCTAGATGGCCCTTCAAAACGAGAGTATAGTTTTTCTTAAGTTCCGTGTCAGGTTCCTGGGTGCCTAAATACAATGTTCTAGTAACGTCGGTTGTGCCATACCTGATAGATTCAAAATAGGATCGGGAAAATAAATAGTGAAGATAAGGTAAACATTAAAAACTGGATTAATAATTTTATTTGTATACAAAAAAAAACTCCCGATTACTATGATCAGTAATTCTGTTTTTTTCTTTCCTTCATTTCTTTAATTATTACCAAATTCAACAAAATTATCAAAAATTCACGATAACAAGTATTACAGCTTAGAATTACGAATTTCAAATGTGAACAATAAAATAGCATTCAAACGAATATTTAATTTACTAACGTGTATTGGCTTCCTGAATCGCATAAATAAACTTCTTGTGGGCTTAGGGCGCGGTCAGTTAATTCGTTTGGACTGCAAAATAATTTTTGATAAAAATTAATAGTCATTTTAAAGCAAATTGTGATATCTAAAATATAGTTTATAAAATGAAGAAAGAATTTTCGTCCAAAATTCATATCTGAAAAGGTAAATTTTTTTTAGTGGATGGATAGATTTATAAATCTTAAAAAAAAAATAACAAGAATAAAGTAAGATTTAAAAAAAAATAACAAGAATAAAGTAAGATTTAAAAAAAAATGATAGGCAAATAGATTTCCTCTAATGAAGGTCAATAATTTAATAATCTGGGTTTCTCGGTTTGGTCCGAACTGGGGTAGTTTGGTCTTTAGAATGGGTTTAGCGGTAGGACCGATAAAAAAAATTATATTTATAGTAACAAAAAGTTTCGAATTTTATTACAAGCAAACAAGTTCTTATGTTCTTACTAAATATAATTTGCCATAAACAATGTTAAATCTTACAATGTAAGTTTTAAACTATGATAAAATATTTAGATGCTAGATTTAAGAAATACAAATGGTTAAATCATTTCGAAATTTCACCTGGCAAGAATACCTTTATCCTTAGCATTCCTTGCCTAATAAATTCTAGTAAATATTGTTGAAAATGAAAGGCAATAAAATAAGATTTACCATATAATTAATATAGGTACACATTGTACAAATTTAATATAAAGTACATAATTCTTTATAATTATGTATCATATTTTGATTTTTAAATATATTTTTTTTAATATCTTATGTCGGTTTTTCTTTTTTTCATAATAATAGGTTCCCTTGTTTATCTTTACTAAGTAGCAGAGTTATTAAAAGATACTTTTCAAATGGATATAGATGCAGATACATCCGTCCAAAAAATGTATCAGAAACAATCTTTATTATACTTAATGTAAAGGTATGCATAATGCTTAATTTAAGGATGATTCTATTGTTAAAATTTTGTTTCGAAGTGAGCTAAAAAAAAATTACCGAGAGGATATCACATCTAAATACAAGATATATAATTAAATTATATTAGATCTTAATAATTAAATCATTAACAAAATTTTTAACATTAAGGGCTTCCTCGTTTATGCGTAAATTTTAAGCCATACTAAACTCTTTTTAACCGGGGGGGGGACTTGACGGCAAAGTGATTGTTATATATAATGGGTAACAACTTTATAATCATTAAATTAAAATCCCGATACTCATTTTTAAAAAAACATCATTAAAAATTTGATGAGTGTCAAAACTTATATCAATATTTATATCATTTAAGGAGTTCCCCCCAAAAAACAAATACTAAATTATTAGATTTCTTCTCAGAGATTATCTAGAAATCTTGATCTTTAATATAAAAAAAAATTATAATATAAAATTTCCCGCGTTGTCGTCATCCATTGGCGTAAAATAAAATTACGGGAAAAAATGCATTTTTGCAAAAAAGTAGTCATAGAACATTATAATACTTAGCCGATGAAATGTAACTAGGAACTTAGTTCATTTAACCAAAAAAGTTCAAGAACATAGAGATAAATCATAAAATATGAAGGAAATAAATAACTGATAATGAATGACTGCCGAATGAGGTCCCGACGAAGATATCGTAGCAAAACTCAATCCCATAAACGGTTTGGAAAGTTCGGAATTGCAAGTCAAAGTCCTGATTTCCAATAATTTGGCGGCAGCGTTCACTTCCGTAATTTTAGGGTAGGCCGAGGAAACGTTGAGCGTTAACCACGCGAAAAATTCGCAAAGTGTAATGGCGTCTAATAGCTTTTATTATTAGATAGAAAAATGTTCATAAGATACCGTGTCCTTAAGCCCGCATTCACAGCTGAGCGCGAATGCGAAGCGATAAATAATTACAGAGTATCTTATAGGTTAGATTACAACTATTTCGTACGAATTTTTTTAAATATAGATAGATATTTGTATTTTATTTTTTTTTAAATTGGTCTATCGAAATTATAAGATTCATAATTGAGAAGTTACCAAAATTTTCATAAATAATATTTCATTTTAAAAATAAAATATATATCTTTTCAAGATTCTGACAAAATAATCGTTGGTATATAAATGTTCACAAACATATTATAGTGTTTCAGTTGGTAGGAAAAGTTGATTAGAGTCCTGTATTCAGAGGCTTCACTCCTCGAAGACCCTAAACTCCTCTATGAAAATTTTTAACCTTCCGACCTCCCGAAATTATGGTCTCCCTTCAAAAATTTAATTTTTTACCAAACTAACTGAAATAAGCAGTATAACTGATTGCGAAACCTCAATAATTAGGGGTACAAGATAGGAAGTATGATGGACTACTTTAAACATGACAGTGAATATATGTAGAGGATTAATTACAAATCAAAGATACATTTTATTTCTTACTAAATATTCAAAATTATAAATATAACAAAAATTTAAAATGTATTGCAAAATAAAAGAAGCTAAATGTATTGCAAAAACAAATTACATATATATATAAATTGAGATCACCCAGGAGCTAACAGAAAAAAAATAGATCCTCAATTAAATTAGATATTGTACCCACTGCGATAAAATCTAACTTCACCCTGGCTATCACCGCGGACAAGGAGTCAAACATGGTAAAAATGGATTAGAGCCGTTAAATCACATACCTATAATAGCTAGTATGTTAAACGGCTCGTTTTGAGCCGATTTTTAAAAAAAGGCTAATTCAATATTTTAGCCAGAAAAATAATGCTTAAGCCTCGAGATTTCGCTAATAGGTTGTCCAAACCTTTGTTCCTTCTGCAAAGAAAATCTTCAGGCTTGCGTAATATTATTCTGGATAATATATTAATTAGCCGTTTTTAAAAATCGGCCGAGCCGTTTAACAACATTAGTAATAGCAGGCGCATTTTAATCATCATGGTAATTAGCTTATTCGTCATTCCTAAAAAAAAGGTAAACAAATCTAAATATCATATTTTTTTTCTTTCCTACGTGAGCTTTTTTAGCTCCTTCAATTTCCGTATCATTTTTGATGGCTTTAAGGTTCATGACAGGGCACGTCTCGATGATTAGATGGTCGATATCCGAATCCTTCAGGTCGGAATGTGGAATCGAATCGCAGAGGGCTTGATTTGTTTGAGGACTGACCTATAAGTAAATTTAAGGTACATATTATTTATACACAGTTTGGAACCTGAACCTCATTAAAAATTTTTTTTTTAGGATACGGTCTCCAGATATTTACTACTCCATATCGAGATTCGAAACAACCCTTGATTTTTTAGCACACATTAATTTCAATTCAAAATATTATTGATCTCTTACAAAAAAATAAATAATAAAATTAAAGACTTAATTAAGCAAATTAAGTTCATGAGACGCAGACCCAATGCATTGGATAATTAGATATTTAATTTCTCACAAGTGTCCAAGCTTTCTTCACTTGCATTATCCTTTATTATGTTACTTTTTGTGTTTTCCATTTCTACAATTACTTTAATATTCATTAGATATAGCATACTGGTCTCTTTCAATTAAGACAATAAAATTTATAATACATTCAACTCTTATATTTGTCCACCTAACATTAATAAGGGTCAAATCTTTATTTTTTATCATTATCTTTAGGTTACTCTATTTTTAATCCTTTCATATTCATTCTGTTTAACAAATTTTTACTGAGAAAATATCTTCCAAGCATTTTAAAATGCTGCCTTTAAGGATTGATATAATTTCTTCCGAATACACGTTGCACCAATGGAAAATGAACAATTAAACATAAAAACTGTTGCGAAATTATTGATATTATTTGATAAAATTTAATATTTTAAGAAATTAATAATATTATTATTAGTTGAATCAAAATTAGAAAAGGAAGTTAGCCTTATGCCTAAATCTCATTTAAACCCATTCCTTAACCTTATTTCAGTTAATTATTAAAAATTATTTTATATATTTCTGTCAATAAAAAAAATTTCTTTCCGATTACCATTACTAGAGTTAACCCATTATTGTATTATCGCTAAATGAACGTACATATAAAAAAAAAATATGAAACAAGAGGAAATTTAATTTTTTATTTCACCTAATTTACATCTCTAATCACAACTCCCTACCCCTACTTTCAATTTTAATGATGATCTTGAGTCTCACATTCAAAGTTAGAAGTGCCAACCTGAATATATTGAAGTGTCAATGCTTCCATTATGGTTAGAATGGAAGGTGACACGTCTCGATGAGATTTGGTATGCGTCATTTTAGATTATTAAAAGCAATTACAACATGTATATTTTAACTTTTATTAAAAAAAAAGAAAATAATTAATTATAAAAATTTAAAAAATTAAAACAAAAAATAATTATATTTTTAAAGTAAATTTTGAAACAAAAAATAAAGTATATTTTTAGTATAAAAATTTGTCCCTTATATAGGGAAAATAAAACTCTCAATTATAAATAAAAATAAAAATGGCGCAAAGTGAAAAAAAAGGACGTTTTTGCAAAAGTTAGTTTTATCTTACATAATTATGGATAAAACCTACCCCCCCCTATACTTTCCGGAACTCTTACCACTGGATGCAGGGCGATCTCCCGGACCTAAATATCTGACTTATATAAGTTAAAATCGAATTTAAATATTAAAAAAAAATAAAAAAACTAAAAAAAAGTTTTTTTTAAAATATAATTTAACAAATGAAGAAAAGGTATTTTTTTAACTAAATGATAGGAAAATGATTGAGAATACCCAGATTTTGTAATCTTCTCCCATAACAACCCAATCGATGTTTTTGACGTAAGCGTAGACTGAAGAATAGGGTAGGATCATAACCTTGAGATTAAAAATATAGAAAGGATTTCAAACTTTTGTAACCATAGGCAAATTAATTTAATTTATAGAATAAATATTATGAAAATAAAAATTATACATTTATATTATTATTATTGGTTGTGTATAAATAATATGTAAAAAAAATATGATAAGTAATTTTCCTAGGATATTTGGTAGGTCAGATAATAGTAAATATAATCAAGACTCTATTATTCGAGTGCTATATAAAATTTTTATATTATTGTGAAATAGCTTTTTAAATTGCTTCAGTTTACATTATTCATTTGCTCTTTTCTCTCATTCAATTGGTTTAAACTTCATTTTGCTTTTTTTATACTTTACTAGAAAAGCTTTTAAGAGAAAACAACACTCCGATAATCCAGTTAAAGAATTCATCAAACTCACATTGAATTTCTCCTTAATTTCAAGATTATCCATTCCCAAATGATCCATCACTTCATCGTTCAATCCTTTTCCATCCCCATAAAATAGGATAATTTCTGGTCGTGTATGGGATCCATTTACTTTTTAAATTAACAAACAAAAAAATATACAATCACTTATTTTATTGATTTAAAAAATTTTTTGAAGCAATGTTAAAATATATGGGGTCTTGGTTAGTGATCTGCATCGGACTCATCTAAAGATGAACACATTTGCAGCATAATTTTGTGAATCTTTGTTAAGATTCTTCTGATTCATAAGCGTAGCCAGGATTTTACTAAGGGGGGGGGGAATTAAAAAATTACTGGGAGCTTCGCCCTCAGACCCCATTTTGGGCGGGCCTTCCGCCGGGTTTCCTTAAGCCCAGCCCAGCCCAAAATTTTTTTTTAAAATGTTTTGCCTGGCCCAAACCGGAAATTTTTTTGAAAAAGTTTTGCCAGCCCAAAGCCAAAATTTTTTTTAAATAAAATTTATAGACCCAATCTGGTCCGAATTTATTTAAATATAGAAATTAATTTTTATAATTACTCAAAATAAACGATATATGTTATATGGCATCTAGTTTCTATAAATAAGATAAAATATTTTTATTTTACATAAAAAATTCAACTTAAAATTGATAAATTTAGATATATTTTAAAAAATCTCTAAAGCCCGACCCAACCAAGCCTGAATTTTCTTGAAAAAAATTGGACCCAACCCAGCCCAAACCTGATTTTTTTTAAAAATATTGGCCACACCTGGCCTAAATCCCATTCTGGCTGGGCCGGGTACAGGCTGGGCCTACTTTTGCAGATCTCTAGTCTAGATATCTCCTCCTAAAAATAAATAAACAGAAACTTGATAGAAGAATTCATAAAAGTTATTAAGATTTAAAATTGTAATAAGAAAAAATACTATATTGTGTAGATTCTTGCTTGAACTTAATTGGGCACACATTTATGATCATGTAGGAAAAGAAGACTGGATTATAGGGCACATCACTTCCTCTCAAGTTTAGTAACCAAGCTATTTCATCGAGAGCAGAAATAAGTAATGAGCTAACTTTGCAAGGTTTATGTTTGGATATAATATCTATTACATCGTTAATTTTGGACTGCCAGTTTTTACCTGAAAAGAATAATAGGTTACTACAATATTTTTGTTAAAAAAATTTAAAATTAGCAATTTTATTACCGGTATATTTGATATCTAGACAAAAAACTGGATTATTTGGTTTGGTAGGTTTATTTATCCAGGTGATATCAACTAAGTTTGTTAAAAGTGGAACTAAAATTAATTTATTCTTTTTTAAACATTGCTCAAGTTGTTTCCAGGCCACTAAATAAAATTATATATTATAACCTAATTATAATTAACTTACATTGTGATATTAATGTGGGATCTATGCCTACTCTTGATTTTGGTTGTAAAACCTTAATAAAACAGTCATTAGTAAAAGATATAATATGTAAATTAAAACTGAATGGAGCCATTCTTCTTTTGTAGGCACATTTTCAATGCCTTTAAAAAAATAATTAAATTTTTTTTAAATGTGTAATAATCTAATATAACAACCATCTTTCATCAAAATCCAATAATTTAAATCTAATTCTTCTGATGCCTGAATATGGTAGCGTCCATCAGTCCATAGAGCTGCCTTAGTTTCAGTAACAATCGCAGTTCCTAAAATCAAGCTATTATAAATCCATTTTATAAGACAACAGTACCATAAGAACCAGAAAAATTACTTATGAATTTTAGTCGATTATCACAATTGGCTATATATTCGTTCTCAAATAAATTGATAAAAAAAATTTTAAAATGGTTATACTTGATGAGCATCACAGTGTGGTATAATATATGCACATATTTCTTCATTAACAAAACGTTTGTCTCTAAAACAATTCCTCAAACTTTTTAAAAGGACTTCAGCAGCTGACTTTGCCATGCTTATAAATTATTTTTTAATGATGATAAGCTAATATTCGAAAAATAAGAAATCGTACAAATTTTCAATTATTTTAATATACTATTAAAAAAGTTTTAAAATCATCTAATTTTAGCAAAACGAATTAAAACATGTATATATAGCACAATATAGAATACCAAGATTCAATAATATATTAGAAGTTATTATTATAATGTATATTAATTTTGATCAAACTATAACATCGGTGGCGGGTATGCCATGTAAACACTAATTGAAGTCCTATAAAGAACATTCAAAGTTATGGAATTATTTTCAAGAAGCTTTACACTTATCAGAAGATCCTCAAGTTAAGATATTTTGTTAATTATGTACTTCCAACTTATACAATTTATAATTATAACATGAATTTATCTTATATATATTTAAATCATAGTGAGTACATAGATAGTTACACCTAGAGAAAGGTTTTATACTTGTGGTGTGGAAACCTAATTATGGACATGTATAGAACTGTAATGATCTTGCATTTGTAAATCCCATAGTTACACCTAAAGAAACGTTTTGGTACCTGTGGAACCCTAATTATGGTGTTTTTAGAATTGTAATAATATTGCAACTATAAATTTCTTTTAAGGAAGTAGCATTTATTAACTATTATGTAGATAAATTTATCAATTTTTTACACATATACCTTTAAACTGGAATGGTTACATTTGATCTATTTTAAATTTGTTGTGTACATCAGATAGATCTAAAAGACCAAACAATTTGGTTATTAAACATTTCATTCCACTCTTGATTGTATGTATCTACATTATTTTGTAATTTATAAGTTTACACAATTAGATATATTGAATATCTTTATTCTTTATAAGGATTAAAAGACAGACAATTTTATATTGTATATTTTTTTTCCACTCAGTAAGTATAAATAACCATACAAATAGATTTATTATAATATTCTACACTTGCTTTTGCAATTTTTACTTACATTACACATATACCTTCTAAAATGGAATGGTTACATTTGTTCTATTTTAATTTGTTGATTATATCAAATCCAAAGTTAAGTGAAGGACAATTAGATATATTGAATTCCTTATTCTTGTATATATAAGAATCAAAAGATCAGACAATTAGATTATTGAACATTTCATTCCACTCTTGATTGTATATATCTACATCCTTTTGCAATTTATAAGAGCAAAGAATCATCCAATTTTATATTAAATATTTTTATCTCACTCAATTCACTTTGAAGCTGAAATGGCTACATTAAATTGAACAGAGACTATGATTACTCTATTGTATGGGTTAAATCATTAATAAAAAAAAATAACACTATATCTAATCTACTGATTAGGCAATTTTTTTATTTTAATCATATTTATTTACAGATTCTATGAACATTAAATCTCAATAGTGATAGTTATCATTAAAACTTACACTAAATTATTTAAACTTAAAATCAGCCATCACCCACTTTTAAAGTAATTAAATTATACTGTAGTTCTCGGTTATAGGCTCTTTTATTACCCCACTCCTTTTTACTAAGCCTATAGAGGTTTAAGCAACTTTTTTCGAAATGTTGTGCCTACAAGTACGTGCGGCTTGCACACAAACGTGTGAAGGGCTCCTCATTTTTTTTCCCCTAATTAACTATTCAGTTTGATGGATTTTGAGGAAAACCTAGCGTAGCTCTATTGTACCCACAACCAGAGGGAGCGCTATTATCACGTATCACGTAATATACTATTAGTGTTATTTTAACTTCTATTATTAATAAACCACAGCATTATATATTCATAATTTCAATTGTATAATATTTTATTCCTCATTATCTATCTTGTTTTAGAAATAACCTTTTCTTTATAATATTTTTAAGTTTATATGCAATTTTTATTTACAATAATATTAACATTGGTATAATTTTTTTAAAAAATGATAGGCTTTACCTTATCAAATATCCTTCATATATACATATGTTATATATTTCTATACCTCTTTATTTCTTAAACTTCTTTTCTTAGTTACATTTTATTATATTATATAACATTTTGTTTAATTTTCATATATTGCCATAAATTTATAGATTTTGTTTTCCTTAAATATATAAGTTTATTATTTACGAGTACTTATTTCTTATCGTTACAAAACTATATATAAATCGAATTATTTTATTGATTAAAATTTCCGTAAAAAATGTGTGATCATATAGATTAATTCAAATTAATCTCTATCTAGCTAATGAATTTTAACTTCCACTTCTATCATTCGATTACCTTATTGTTATTAATATAAAAAATTATGGTATATAAATATCTTTATATGTCAACACTAACTGACATCTGACATATATGTTGATGATAATTCTGAACAAGATATATACTGGATGGAAAAATTTGAGATAACCGAAGATGATATAGGATTTGCTTTTAATACACAAGCTCCTCGTCGGAGAATGACGAAAGAGCAGCATACTTATGGTATATTACAATCTATGTTATATATACACTACAATAGCCAATATTTTAATTTATAAGTATTTTATCATTAATTTTTCCCTTCTTAATATGGGATATTTAGCTTTTAAGATACACTTTTAAACGATTGTAATATAAAAATATAGGAATTTGGGCAGATGATGACGATGATGAAAATACCTATAAAGGAACTTCAATATCAGGAAGAAGATTGTTTGCAGCCAAGAGTTATTCAACCCCTATAGGGTTCATAAGTGGAGGAGTCACTCAACCTAATACTCAACCTCCTACAGGAAAAGATAGTGAAGAAGAAACTGTTGAAGAAAATGTAAATTTCCCATGTAACATATGTTCTTTATTTAGTTTTATTTTTTTTTCATATTATTCAGTATTAACAAATGTCTTATTTTTTATTTTATAGGTTGATGCTAATTATAGTGATGATGAAATGTATGTACCACCAAAAAAAACCATGTTTAAAGTCAAAAACTATAATTATCAACAAGAGGACCAAAGGTATATTTTTATTTTTTTAGAATTGTGTAGATTTTTTTTTAATATATAGTTCATTGGGTGATTGGGAGAAGCATACAAAAGGAATTGGACAAAAACTTCTCCTACAAGTAAAATATTGATTTTTCTTTTATTATACATTATTCTTGGACCCACCTATCAACAGATAATGGCCTAAAACTTGATGGATTGACTATTATTCTTTGGGTCATTGGCAAGCAAAACTTTGCTTCAATTAGGTTTTGGCTAAAGAGCTCTACATCCAATTCAGCTGCCATAAGTTAAATTGGATGATAGTTCGACAACATACTTGCATAAAATGTAAGATATTAGTTAATTTCAAAGGGAGACATGGTTAAAATTGTATAAGGCAAACATGCAAGTCATGTAGCAATTAATTTAGTTATTAATCTTTTCCTTATGAGGGCCCAAATACCTGCCCCATAATTTATCATCAAATGATGGCATAAGACAGATGGTTTAACTTCATACCTTGGTCTATAAGTAAATTCTTAATTTTGGATTTTACATTATTCTCTTCATTTTCAAAAATATACATTCTAATTTAAGATAAAATATTCTAAATTAAAATTATCTTATTTTATACCAATCGCTCTCTCTTCCCCTGGACATATATGAAGTGAAACTTTAAATTTGTTAAAAATTATAGGTGACAAAATAGGAGCCCCTAAATCAGAACCCAAGGAATTTTATTATTTTTTTAAACAAAAAATTCAAATTACTCTTAAAATATAATTATTCATGCTTTTGGGAACTTGCAGTCCCAATTCCGTTTTTATTATATTAGTTTATGATTAGTAATATATATTATGAAATGAATTTATATGAAAATAAATTATTTATCTATAATCACATGACCTGTCAAGGTAGAAAGTTTATTAATAAAATCGGTTAAATTTTATTTAAAAAATCAAAACCCTTTCACATTTAACCAGCATTCAAATTGAAATATTAAAATTTTAAATGTTTGTTCTAAATTTTTTTATTTGAACTAACAAATTAAGTTATGTTATTTTTTGACTTTGAAATGGATTTATATATTTATTGTTATTTCATTATATTTACCCTTGATTAAGGGTTAAAAGAAAATATTTAGTTGCAATTTATATAACTAGCATTGTCTAGTAATTAATTAAGCTTAAATTTTTTCATAAAAATAATCCTAAAAAATATACAAAAATAACTCAGGAAACAAAGCCTTCAATGGATTATCCACATTCATTTTATTACATTATACCTCTGTTTTCCTGGGAAATTTCATATAAACAATTATAAAATTAGCAATATTGAATTGACTAAATATTAAGTATTTTTTCAATAATATTATATTATCAATATTTCATTTGCTCATACATTCTAAATATATACTTTATAATTAAATTTTAATGATAACTAAGGATTTCCTGCAATGATGAAAGGCGATAAAATTTATTTGAATATTTTATAATTTATTTAGAGGATTAATTTCAAATAAATCATTTCAAAAAAAAAGTTTTGATATCAAAATATTGTGCCTAAATTGATTTTGATATAAATAAAATAGAATAAATTTTTTATTAAATAATACAGAAATAGTTATAAAGAATTTCTATATCTCCTTTAATTTTATATAAATGTTTTTATGGGAATTTCATCATGCAACATAAAACAAATTTATAATATAATAAAATTAGCGATTTTAAAACTTACAAGCAAAGTATAGTGAAATGAAATAATATTATATGGATTTGAATCATGATATTTATTTTTTTAAAAATAAATCGCGATCCAAATCAATATTTATCTTGCCAACCCTTCTATATAGTTTATTAACATGTAATGCTTAAAACGTATGTCAAATATTTCTTCAGATGGGTTATCAAGCTGGCAAAGGATTGGGGAAACATGGCCAGGGTAGAACTGAACCAGTGGAAGCTGTTAAACGTAAGGGCAAGGGTGCCATTGGGGCATATGGACCAGAAGCTAACAAAGCCGACAAACCTAAGCAGGATAAGGATGGAGTTGGTGGCAGAAATTTCAAAGGAGCCTCCATAAAAGGTAGCGGTTGGAAGAAGGAACAAGATAAACGTTCCACTAAAGACAGGTCGCTCAAACCCTCGTTCGATGTAAGTTTAACGTCATGTATATAATATTTTTTTAATAATAATCCATTCCACTATTTTATTATAGTATAATAAAATTGGCGCTGATTCAAAAGATTCCCTTCCATTTTGGTCAGATAATTATTCCCAGAAAAATATTGATTCGACCAAATCAATCAAGGTTATTGACATGACAGGCAAAGAGACAAAGATATTGACAGGTCAGTTTGATGCTTACTTTCTGATCACATATGCTAAAATTAAAATTAGATTAATCATTTTTTATTCAATTACATTTCTTAGTAACTGTTACTTATGAAAAGTTATACAGGTTTTTCGCGATTCGTTTTGAGTCTCTGAAATCAAATTATATACCACCCAAACCCGAGATCCAAACCCAAACGAATATCTGTACAAGTTCAGATAAAATAAACGACTCAGGTTTGGTTCGTAAAAAATAATGATACCGGTTTGAATTATAAACCAGGGTTGAACTCTTTTATGTTTAAACTTACATTATAATTCTGTTTCTGTAGAACACTTTTTATTCATCATTAAAAAAAAACTTAAAGGCCATGTTTTAGGTTGCTTAATGCAAAAAATAACAATGCCACCAAACACTTCAAACAAACCAATAGGGTGTCCTCGTTCAAAACTTTTTACGCATATTAAAATGCAATTAAATATCCAAATTGAGTCCACCTAGTATACAGCCAAAAGGCTTATTTTATTAGTAATTACACATTATTAATATCCAATTTATAAATTATACAGTTTTAACTGTACAATTAAAATATTTTATAGTTTAGTCAAATTACATCTCTATATAAATTAATTGTAAATTTTATTGTTGAAAAAGCTCTCTCTCTACTCTAACTTGAGTAGCCGGCACTGCCAATATATCATTAGACAATTTAGATAAATTGGGGTATATCATTACTCTAATTTTGCCAATAGATCTAAGATATTCATTTTTTTATATTTTGGCTAGGTTCTTTAGGTAAATAAACTAAAATATATATATAAAATTCTCTGATCTTTCTAGCAGATTTTGTTTATGATCATGTTTATTCTTTTAAATGCTACGGGTTGGTTGGTTTAACATCCTAATTTTTTTATTTCTTAATGCTTTTGTTGTGATATTTTGTTAATTTTGGCAAGTTCTAGAGAACGATTTTTTGATGTGACACTCAAGAGTTGCAGTATGATGGTGTTTCATATTTTTATCGCAATCTGTAGCTTTAAATTTTGATATATCATTTATAATACTCTACGTAAATGTAAATATTTTATATATTGTAATTAATTTATCGCTTGGCATTTTAATAAGCTTTTTACCAAAATTTAAATGAAAAAAAAACACAGAAGCTATTTTAAAAATTGTTGTAAAATAGCAATATACAAAAATTTATCAAAAATTGAGTGATAATAATTTTAAGAACAATACTCATATAAATCAGAATTTTAGCCATAAATTAGTTATTTATAAGTATAAAACATGAGATTTAAACCGGTTTACAAACATTTGTAGCGATAAAAAAACGGTTAATACTGATTTAAAGGTTTGGTTCATGTTTGTGTTGAAACCATGATTATGACATATACTAAGAATTATTTTATTTTTATCCGAAAAAAATACATAATTTATTTTATATCAAAAAAAATATATATTTAATATAATTTATACAAATTGGAGATTATTATGGTTTGTTTAAGTCTCAAAGGTGATTAATTCGTTGTTTTTTATGTTAAGTTTATCAAAAATAAATGCTTAAAAAATTTAAAGAAGATATTCTCAGTTTTTTTTTTCATTTTCGTTCTTTAATGTTTGACCACTATACATTTTTGTGTTCCTACATTTTGATCGAATCACCTTTTTAATCCTTTTAGGTAATGAACTAATTAATTTTAATATATTTCTTCAGGAATGTATTCTATTTATTCCTCAGTACATGGCCTTTATTACCCTCTCTTAATTTCTCAGTTTAACAACAGATTTTCAAATAGATTGAAGTGGCTGGTTGAGTCTAGCCCAATGATGTATATATATATTCTACTAGATTGGGGATTCATCAATCAAAAGCGTCCATACATAGGAGGCCTTTAGTGCCATTTTGTGGTTTGCTCGACTATTTGTCTTTTTCCACATTAATGTCATTTAATAGACATACAAACCAAAAAAGGCGCTACAGCTGACTCCTATGTATGGACGGCAAGAGCGCGATAATGCCAAGATCGAAACAGCGAAAATATTGGGATCTCGCTTATATTTCCTAGAAAATTTTTTAAAAGTAAATTTGAAATAGACGAAATTGTGGGCGAAGATGATATTTCCTCCATTTTTAGAGATTTTTTTTTAAAAATTTGATTTAAATAGATGTGTTTATTTCTCTAGCATCTATTTTCCCAATTTTTCGCTGTTTCGTTCTTCGCGATTTAAAAACGTGAACCTTATGGACATTTTTATGTGAATTTAATAAATGAATCGCCAATCTGGTATTGGTCTGGCTCAAGATAAAATTTTTATATATTAATTTTAATTACTTTAGCGATATGGCGGGAGGCACTTCCTCAAAATTGGCGCTAAAATATAATCAGAATGATGCATTGCCATGGGAAAATTCCTCCCTTGACAAATTCACCGTTTTTTTCGTAAATGTCATTTAAAGCCGATATAAAATATTATTTTTCATTAAACTTATTTTAGTCTTTGAAAAGAAAGTTTTTTAAAAAAATAGAATAATGACTAATTTTTTTAAAAAGAGTGTAAAACCAAAAAATTATTTTATAATGTAACCTGGCCAAATACTTCGAATTAGCTATCCAACCAAAAGTTAAATTTCTCTAAGGATGAAGAGAATAGATTATTTTTCAAGAGTTACCTTATCCTTTAACCCCCACTCACCCCCATATTCAATATCATACGCGATTGAATTTGATGGTGTTTTACTTTAAATTAGAAATATTTTTTTTTGTAATCCAGTTAGCATTGATGATGAGGTTTATACTACTTTATTTAGTCGATTAGCCTCCTACATACATTATTATGTATGAATAAATACTACTACCCAAGGTTACGAATCTATATCCAGGCGATTGAATAAACCGTCAGAACCTTCTTCTAATGCATCGACGTTGAATTCCAGGGTCAATTTTGACCTTCCAGAATTGAGGCACAATCTCGATATTCTGATGAGGCAAAGCGAAAACGCGCTAAATCTCAATAAGAAACGTTTGGCTTACGAGGATAACCAAAGACAAAATTTGATCGAAAAAAGGCACAAACTGGAGCAGACGATCGTAAATACGAAAGATGAAACCAAACGACTCGTTAAACTTTTAACTTTTATGGATAGGTGAATAAATGTTATATTCGTTTCTTATAATCGATTTTTAATTGCATTTTTTAAGGTTTAGGCAGTTATATATCTTAACAACACATCATTGCGCTTACTAAAAGTAAATCAGCTTTGGGAAATAAACAGAAACATATGGTATTTAAAAATTTTAGGCCGACCTAGCCCAGCCCGAATTTCTTTAAAGAAATATTAGTCCCGAACTAAAATATTTTTTTTAACCTGTTTGGGCCAAGTACGGGTTGTGTTGTGATTTGCAGATCTCTACTAAATAATAACAAGTTTTAAGCACACTTTTGGAGCCGAAGCTGGACAAATTCTAGGAAAGTTTGGAACTTTTTTTATATAAAATTTATTGGAACCTGAATCCAGAAACAAATTTATAGGATCCAGTTCTAATAAAAGTGCAAGTGATCTAAAAATATTGTTTAATTTAAAATGTTATGTCATTCATTATTAGGGTCAATTTGTTTTTTTTAATTGTTTTAACAAAGATTAGAACCAGAGAGCCTGGAACCCTCTGAAACATCAAATTTAATCCCAGAGCCCACTTTTCAGAATTTTAACCGGAACTAGAATAATTTTTTTTCTTTAAATATTCAAAAACAGAACCATTTTTACTCAAGGTTTCAAAGTCTGATTTTAAGTCGTCCTAAATATTTATAAACTTTAAGCTAATTTTTATCCATTTTCATCAAGATTCATTAACCCAGACGAAAATATTTTCCGAAATTTGGACGAATGCAAAATCCTATTGGATATGTTTAAAATCGAATTCAATAATGAATTCAAATTGTACGATCTGAAGAACATTATCACCGCCATTGTTTTTCCTATGGTAAATAAATAAGTTTAAATTATTACATATAGTTAAACCACAAGTTCTATTTGTACTCTCTTGCCAAGATTGATTTAAGTAAGTCGGGGTTGATTATGACTTATAAAAAGTTTATGTGTAAGATGAGATACACGTATTTTGTCCGATTTGAACATTAAATGCACAACTAACCCTATCTCACATCAGGTCATGGTCCATTTCTAAATTTTTAGGTTAATTAGCCAATTTAAAGCTGAAATCGAGGAAATAGTGGTTACTATAGATGAGTAATCAGTAATCACTATATTTTTAACCTTTTAAGCCAATTTTTAGCCAGTTGACCTTGGGGTTATTCCTTTATAAGATAGCAGTACAAATTTGAAAGAAACAAATATAAATTCAAACTCCTTAATATTAACGGATTTTTTCTGGCCGGTGCCCGAAGATTGAGCCGAATTCTCCCACATTTAGCCATCACCCAACTATAGTGGTTACACTGAATTCGTATTTTGTTTGTTTATATCATATTCATGTTTCTATATTTATCAAGGTCCTCTTATTGTAAGGTTTTAACTTATATTTATGTATGGTGTATAAGCTTAAAAACGTATTGGAGACTTGGGAACCCTTGGAACAACCTGAATATGCCATAGACATTTTGCTGGAATGGAAGCGCATATTGCGGGATATGGAAATCGATTTGTCACTCAATACAAATATTTTTAGCCAGAGCGACGAATCCCCCGACGAAATAACTTTTCAAAAGATGCTTTGGTACATATGGATGCCAAAAATTAGGAAGGATATACAACAGTAAAACTAATTTACTATTTCCTATACATGATACGAATTGTTGATAACACTGAGATCATTTTTTGCATAAAAGCCTGAAGGATTCTGGCAAGTGGTCTCGGCATCTTGGCAAACTTCCTAAATTGTTGCAATACTCTGACTGACATTACTTTAAAGTTTCTAACATCCTAACTAAGTTTGTTGTGTTTCTGTACATTTATTTAGGAACTATATCAAATAAATGGGGGAAAAAAATGACTTATTTTTTTTATCAGAAAATGGGATCCTAGAAATAGCGATAAACTCATAAATTTAATCGAGTGTTGGAGTGACATCCTACCTCCCTGGCTCAAGCACAACTTGTTGGACCAATTAATAATTCCCAAGCTTCATAGCGAATTACAAGAATGGGATCCGTTGACGGATGTAGTGCCCATTCATTCTTGGATTCATCCTTGGTTACCATATATAGGTTTTTTTTAAATTGCTTTTATTTCAAAAGATTAGAAATATTGGGAAAATTCCTTGATCCAAATAACACATCCATTATATTCTTATTTAGGTGATATGAATATTTGGAAAAAATAAAGTTTTGGGAGATATAATTATAAAATAATCCGAATTATCCATATATAGCATATTTTAGTTTTGATAATTTATTAATAATAACAATTACAAAAGGTTCAGATGCAGATCCTCAAGATTGGCTTCATTCTCAATTAACTCCAACCATCAGATCTAAGCTGGCCTCAGCCTTGAGTCGCTGGCATCCTAGCGACAGATCAGCTAAGGCGTTACTCACTCCCTGGAAAGACGTTTTTACTTACAGGGACTTCGAGGCATTGCTAATCAAGCATGTTCTCACTAAACTAAACGATTTGGCTCATGGTACACCTTACATTTTTACAAAGGATATAGGGGATAGTGTATGTTTCCAACAATTTGTGCAATATCTTAGAAAATTTTAAAAACGCACAAAAATCAATTAGTTAAAGTTGAAAAAATAGCAAATTATTTATTGGGTACATTTTAAAGCTTGAAGATCTGATTTTGTTTAAAATGTATTCCTAAATGCGTAAAATACATACCCTTATTAATCTCTTTTTTTTGTAATGAACTTTTGAGTAATTTTTCAATATCAAGATTTAATCCTCAAACGGATTTCTAGGTATAATAGTATTTATAGATTAGATGGAGCCATTTAACGAATCACAAATTCTTTATTGATTTTGAAAAATGCATCAAAAAGTAGAATAATAACGATTATTTATCCTTCCCATCATGTACCGCATTCCAGAGTTTCTATAAAAGCGATTTTTGGCTCGATAGTTTAAGTTTTCAATAATCAAATCAAACATCTATTTTTTAAAAATCAGAAAAAGACTTTATTATCGAGATCCCATGACCTATCTCAATATCATCAAGGTTATCCCCGTAAGTCTGGTCTGGTGTCCAATAGATTTGTAGAAAAAGAGGATTTCTTTGCAACAGAATTCTTTTATCTTTCGAATAAATTTTTTTATCCTTAATTTTTCTGTATATTGCATATTAATATTATTGAACAAATTTTTAAATATTAAGCATTTCAGTAGGTACTTCAGAAGCGTTGCTTTGTAAGGTTTAAGTAGAAATATTTCAGAATTATATTGGTCCAATATTTTCTATAATCTTCAATATTTTCTGCCAAAAATTATCATAATCCAGAATTTGGTTTTTAAGGGTTTTATCAAAAATATTGTGGATTGCCATTTATTGTAAAATTTTAATTTTCAGCTAAACTCTTTATCATTATTATTCCATCACCCACCTTGTGTTGTACTTGGCAATTTTAGTGTTGGATACGTCATCATCGTGAAACGTCATCACGACACTTCCCCCCTTTACCAACAATTTTTCATTCACAATACCCATCATATTAGCAGTTTTCGTAGATACTTGAGAGTTCAAAAGCCTGCCTTATTACTCGAGATTTGCACTTCGACATCATCTTCTTCTTTAACTTAACGTAGATTTTGCTCTCAACATTTTCTACATCAGCAGCTCTTACCGCCATCGGATCGTTGACCACACCCATAGCAGTTGGTATCGCTAGTTTCCTACCGATAAACTGCATGGCTATGTGGTTCAACCTTTGCTTATGTCTCGGGGAAGTACAGAGGTTCTTGGTCTTATGAATAATTCCTAAATACATCGTGATTGGGTCAAGACTCTCTTTAGTGACAAAAGCTATGAAGTGAGGAAAACCATAACCACATAAGCTACGAGGAGCAAAGAATAATGCAACTAATTTTAGGTAACTCAGGTCACGTCCCCAAGCAGATGTCTGTGTGATGAGATCAATGGACCTGAAGGTTGCATAGTAGTAGCAAAGAATATGATCGGAACCTCGCTCAGATGATGCTCGAGCAGCACCGAAAACAGTGTCTATTTGTTGTGTAAGTGTAAAGAGTCTTTTAGTGTAATCGCATCTATCTTGGAAAAGGTTTTCATATCGCACAGGACCTCACTCTCTTGACAGAAGAATCTGTTAAGATATATAAACTTGATGGAGGAGTATATTGTCTTTGCATCGTTGAGCTCTGCACCCAATTCTCCCCATACCCTTTTGGTAGTTGCGTAGTGCTCATCTGTAGCCCGCTGTGCATATTCTTCTGATGTACCAACCGGGAACTTTATCCCTTGAACTGCATCATCGATTAACCCAGCAGTATTGGCTCGTGCATCACTTGGCAGATAACCAGCTTGCCTACCGACTCTTACACAGTAAGTACTGATGTGTACGTTGAAGATGGAATCTGCCATGCCAGTCCATCCTTGGAACAATCCATCTTTGAGCAGAGCATGTGCCAAGACACCTCTCTTTGCAATACAGGCTTCAATGTTTTTTAGAATAAGTTCAAGGCTTAACCACTTACCTGTACTAGTTAACCTAAGATTATAATCATGATGAGTTGCCCAATGATGCCTCGGGGCACTAGGACTCTATCCTGATGTGTCGTTTGAGCAAATAACCCCATAAGTGTCGCCCACTGTGTACTTGTTAATTCTGTCAAATATTCTGGCGATCTCATTGGCTGATCTTCTTGAAGTCACACCTTCGTAAAGTCGTTCTATTGGTATCAAGCTAAAATCGTATTCCGTGAGTAGTTCTCGGGTGATTGCGTCCGCAGACCAGGTTTCTCTCATCTTTGCTCCAAACTTTGTATTTTCAGATTTGATTGACATGTCAGCTACTTTGTCCCAGGGAGTCTTTCCATTAGATATTGCCTTAACGACATCTTTGGGTAACCATTTATCCAGATACGGAGCATGGTCTAATGTGTATAACAGTTCGTTAGTCATGTTGGATCTCTGTGCTACTTTGGTCATCTGTGAATCATAAGTTGAGATGTCAGGAATGGCGCGTGTAACATCACCAGCAGTCATATACCATGTGTAGATTAATGGTTGTACGTTCAAGACATTCTCCATCCAGCACTTTCCCCACTCTTCTGCAAGGGGTAGCTGTGAATTGCCTGAGCAACAACTCTTATACCACTCTTTATCCATTAGGTCGTAACCTTCTTCGCAGACTGGCTTAATGCTACCACCTGACAGCTTCGTAAATTTTACCACATCAGAAGCTTTAACGTAGTTCATGAACTTTCTAAAGGAATTCTGATTTACCTTATTAGGTTTATTCAATTGGTTAACAACTCTGTATAAGACTTTGAGCGGAGGTGCATCAGGATCTGGAAGTAAGTGATACATATAGGCAAGGTTTATCTGCTCCATTTCGAGTGCTCCGCTCTTTCTAAGTGCAGCGTGTAAACTAGTCTCTAATAGGCTGATGTCACACAATTCCGCTTCTAATTTCCTTAACCTCTTCTGCATACCTAAGTTGAGCTTCTGGAAAGACTCCCTGGGACAAAGTAGTTGACATGTCGATCAAATCTGTAAATACAAAGTTTGGAGCAAAGATGAGAGAAACCTGGTCTGCGGACGCAATCACCCGAGAACTGCTCACGGAATACGATTTTAGCTTGATACCAATAGAACGACTTTACGAAGGTGTGACTTCAAGAAGATCAGCCAATGAGATCGCCAGAATATTTGACAGAATTAACAAGTACACAGTGGGCGACACTTATGGGGTTATTTGCTCAAACGACACATCAGGATGGAGTCCTAGTGCCCCGAGGCATCATTGGGCAACTCATCATGATTATAATCTTAGGTTAACTAGTACAGGTAAGTGGTTAAGCCTTGAACTTATTCTAAAAAACATTGAAGCCTGTATTGCAAAGAGAGTTGTCTTGGCACATGCTCTGCTCAAAGATGGATTGTTCCAAGGATGGACTGGCATGGCAGATTCCATCTTCAACGTACACATCAGTACTTACTGTGTAAGAGTCGGTAGGCAAGCTGGTTATCTGCCAAGTGATGCACGAGCGGGTTAATCGATGATGCAGTTCAAGGGATAAAGTTCCCGGTTGGTACATCAGAAGAATATGCACAGCGGGCTACAGATGAGCACTACGCAACTACCAAAAGGGTATGGGGAGAATTGGGTGCAGAGCTCAACGATGCAAAGACAATATACTCCTCCATCAAGTTTATATATCTTAACAGATTCTTCTGTCAAGGGAGTGAGGTCCTGTGCGATATGAAAACCTTTTCCAAGATAGATCGCGATTACACTAAAAGACTCTCTACACTTACACAACAAATAGACACTGTTTTCGGTGCTGCTCGAGCATCATCTGAGCGAGGTTCCGATCCTATTCTTTGCTACTACTATGCAACCTTCAGGTCCATTGATCTCATCACACAGACATCTGCTTGGGGACGTGACCTGAGTTACCTCAAATTAGTTGCATTATTCTTTGCTCCTCGTAGCTTAAGTGGTTATGGTTTTCCTCACTTCATAGCTTTTGTCATTAAAGAGAGACTTCACCCAATCACGATGTATTTAGGAATTATTCATAAGACCAAGAACCTCTGTACTTCCCCGAGACATAAGCAAAGGTTGAACCACATAGCCATGCAGTTTATCGGTAGGAAACTAGCGACACCAACTGCTATGAGTGTGGTCAACGATCCGATGGCGGTAAGAGCTGCTGATGTAGAAAATATTGAGAGCAAAATCTACGTTAAGTTAAAGAAGAAGATGATGTCAAAGTGCAAATCTCGAGTACTAAGGCAGGCTTTTGAACTCTCAAGTTCTACGAAAACTGCTAATATGATGGGTATTGTGAATGAAAAATTGTTGGTAAAGGGGGGGAAGTGTCGTGATGACGTTTCACGATGATGACGTATCCAACACTAAAATTGCCAACAACACAAGGTGGGTGATGGAATAATAATGATAAAGAGTTTAGCTGAAAATTAAAATTTTACAATAAATGGCAATCCACAATATTTTTGATAGAACCCTTAAAAACCAAATTATGGATTATGATAATTTTTGGCAGAAAATATTGAAGATTATAGAAAATAATTTTCTACTGATCATTTTAAACTTTATGCACGATCAATTAAACCTCATGTTTTCTTCTATTTAGCTCAATCCACTCAGAATATTCACTCCAGTCTATCTTCCGCGAATCTTGCCATATCGTTGAATGCGGGCAATGCCATCGACAAATGGGTGAGCAATGAATGGTTGTGGATTTTAGATTGGGAACCAACTCTGCCTCACCCCCATATGGCTATCTTGTTGCAAAATACATTATTTCCTGCCATGAGAAAAGAATTGGAAACAGGGTTGAGGAATAAAACAGTTCCATTGTCCACGGTGTCAGATTGGTACATATATATATATCTATGTTTTTCTTAAACTTCATTTTTCTCCCTTTTACAAGCAGTTAAAATGTATTTAAAAAGTATTTTTGGTGAGACTTACGGAGGTCGAAAAGAAGAAAGATTAGAAGAGAAAAGAAGAGCCCGTCCAAATTTTTAAAATCATTTTATTGGGAAAATTTAGTGTCGTTTAACGGCTCGATTTGAGTCGATTTTCTAAAAATGGCTAGCTCAATATTTTGCCCAAAAGAAGATAACGTACGCTTGAAGATTTTGCTCATAGATGGCACAAATGTTTTGGACATCTTTTAGCGAAATCCCAAGACTTTGGCAATCTAAAATCTTGAGTTATCCTTTTTTTTAAAAAATCGGCTTCAAATCGAGTTATTTAACAACACTAGGAAAATTGGAAGAAAAGAAATATATGAGAAATATATGAAGGCGCCAAATGAATTTTGAATCGATTGGTTTTATATGTATGAACCCAACCCTTTATAAACATATTATTATACATTTATTTTCGACCAGGTCTGTAGATCTTCGAATATTTTTGTTAAAATTATTAAATCATAAAATAAGCATATTTAAATATCCTTTTAAAATATATCTCAAAATTGGCAATGTTTCAATTCAAACATACATGCCTGAAATATAATTATTAGGCTTAATTTTTTTATTTTCGAATTCGTTTGATAACTTATATTTAACCAATTGTGTTTAAATAAAAAGGTACATGAAATGGAAGAGTATTTTTCCTCAATCCTTGCTGGACAGGCCCGATATCAAGAGTGAGTTTGAATCACTCCTTATGATCATAAACAACCATCTCACTTCGTTGGAAAATGGTAAAAAAAAAAGGAGAATCATATATTTCTTCCTTAATAATTTAAATTTCGTAATATTATTTAAAAAAATTTTTTTTTGATATCCGACATCAATCCATTCATAAATTAAAGCCAACGCGAATTCCGCATACAATGTTCCCAAACCTTATTATCATCACGAGGCGCCGTATTCTGCTCCTTACCAATTTATTTCCAGGGCTTCGGAATCATCCATTCCTATGATGCCTCCTCCTCCGCCTCCCTTAAATCTCGTTCCTCAGAGCGAGCACGCGTTTTCCTTCAGGGAACTCGTACAAGCAAAACTGGAACGTTGCGGGATAATTTTCGGGCCCGCCAACTTGAGCACAATGAATATGTACCACCTGAACCTGCCAGCCAATAAACAGATCTACAAAGTTGAAGGCAATCGCAAAGCCTGCACCGCTTACATAGATAGGGACGTTTTATTTGTTTCCGATAAGAGCAGTGGTTTTGATTGGATGCCGATTTCAGTTAACGATTTGATCAACTTGGTCAATATATTATAACTTTTTTAATGTGCTCGATAGTGTTTGAGCAAAATAGTTGTATTTAGATTCATAGTTTGGAGAGATTATATTTATTAATTGATAAATATGTGTAAATTTTTGTAATTAAGATGCTATTTAATTATAATGTATTGAATAATAAATAATTTAAGAGAAAAAAAAATATCATAGACTTTACGAGTTGGCGGATGGGGGGTGAACAAAATTCACTCTTTAATATTTTTGCCTCTCAGGAAATAGAAAGGAAGAAAGAAAGTCTTCTCTTCTCTTCTCTTCTCTTCTCTTCTCTTCTCTTCTCTTCTCTTCTCTTCTTTTCTCTTCTCTTCTCTTCTCTTCTCTTCTTCTTCTCTTCTCTTCTCTTCTCTCTCTTCTCTCTCTCTTCTCTTCTCTTCTCTTCTTCTTCTCTTCTCTTCTCTTCTCTTCTCTTCTCTTCTCTTCTCTTCTCTTCTCTTCTCTTCTCTTCTCTTCTCTTCTCTTCTCTTCTCTTCTCTTCTCTTCTCTTCTCTTCTCTTCTCTTCTCTTCTTCTTCTTCTTCTCTTCTCTTCTCTTCTCTTCTCTTCTCTTCTCTTCTCTTCTCTTCTCTTCTCTTCTCTTCTCTTCTCTTCTCTTCTCTTCTCTTCTCTTCTCTTCCTTCCTTTTTTGAATTTGCTTCATTACAAACACTAGGTTATATCTTTTCGCTAAAATATTATATTTGTTACGCCATCATCCTCATCAGACTTATCCCTTCATTTTAAGAAAAATCGAAAACAAAATTAACAGATAATTAATTGCTTCTAGTGATTTACTTCGTGCTTAATTTTTCAAGCCCGGCCCGAAATTTTTTTTACAAAAGTTTTGCCGGCTCGGTCCGAACCCGAATTTATTTTAAATATAGAAATTAATTTTTATATCTCTATGGATAAAATCAAATATTTCTATTTAAAAAAAAAATTTCAAGGACTGACCCGGCAGAATTTTTTTAAAAAATATTAGCTGGCTGGGTACGGGTCGGGCCTACTTTTGCAGATCTCTAATTGCTTTTTAAAAAAAATCGTCATTTATTGAATATAAAAATAATTAAATTTAGTCGTTATTCTTTGAGCGAAATAATTTGAGCTTTTAACCTCGCTAAAAAAAATTGAAATAAAACGGAAAATATTTAAGATTCAATATCCACGCAATACTCAAAAGAATTTTTTTTTAATTCTTAGTAATCTATTCTCGTAAATTATTTAACCTTGAGCCTTTAACACTAAAGTAAAATTTTCCCATCGGCCATTTCGATGATTTCTGGTTAACATTAGTTATTTGTTTTCTTCTTAAGACGATTCATTTTACTATTTTGTTTTTTATAAAAAAAGCTTTGATTTATATTGTCTCTTCACATAATTCATTCGCCATTATTGATATATCGGATCAGACAATTTTAAGATATCAGCCGTTAGTCAATAATAAGCCAAAAAAGTATTTAGAATTAGATAGATAAATATCTTACCCAACTCTACGATATTTATAAACGTGGCATAAATTTTTTTTGAAATCAGTAAACTTATTTGCTTAATCTATTGTATTATTTATAATAAGTTAATTAATTTAAAAGACTAATATTTAAAGAGAATAAATACAATTATACGAGCCATATATGTTCCTAGGTGGTGTTGTTGCTTGATAATGTAAGTAGTTACACATATTGAGGAACTTTAACTTATTAACAAGATATATAATTTGGAAGACTAATATTTAAAGAGAATAATAAACACAATTATTAATAATACAAGCCAATTGTGTTCCTAGGTATTGCTGCTTACCAATGTAACTTGTTACTTTTGAGGTGCACTAGCTTGTAAGTGTAACCAGTTATATTTAAAAAAAATTGTTAAAATTAAGATAAGATTTAAAATAAATCTAGTGTGTAATTCTTTCCCGCCAATTGAAACTCAAATTTTATGATAGTAATATTGTTTAAAATTTTATAAGTAATTTCGCAATTCAATTTATAATTAATAAAAACATTTTTGGATTTAAGTTCATCAAACTTCTTGTATTGCTTGCTTTTATGAATGTGTTCCCAAAAATAATTATCCGATATACTTAAAACAAAAGCTTGTACTAATACATATATTTTATTTTAAAAAAACTAATTAAAAATAATCATATACTTTTACAAATACGATTTGTTTTAGTAATATACATATAATAATAATAAATAAGCAACGATTATTATAATATAACTTAATATAATTTGCAAATTAAATTATCACCCTTTACCACATGATGTTTGCAATAAGTTAGAAAAAATTCTCAGGTATTCCCTTTGACATATTAATCGATAATTGATCAAAAAATTTTTTTTTTATTTTGACGATAATAATGTATGTTACATATAAGTCACAAATTGTATTTTATCTCTGGATAAACTGAGCTTTCCATTGAATTTTAAATAATTTTTAGGGATATTTAAATTTTTTTCCTTCCATATTATATCTCTTGATCTATTAAAAATAGTAAAATTATCTGAAAATGAATTATCATCCTCATTATCATAGCCATTTTCGCTGTCATCAGAAGAATAATCAGATGATGAAATTGATAGGTTTGAGGCCACGACTGCCGGCGAGTCAACTGGAGGGATGGGGGAGGGAACGGCTGAGGTGGAGGGGCCGGGATTAGGTTTACCTTTTTTCATCATTGGATAAGTTTTACTAATTCTAAAACAAAATTTAAATCAACGTAAAAATATTTTCCGTAATAATCTAGATAAAAACAAATACAGTTATTTTCCGTCTATATATAGTTTCTAATCAAAAGAAATAACAACAGATTTCTCTGTTATCGTCCATTTGAAAACTAATTGGAACCAGTTTCGAGGGCACAATCATAGTAGGTTTGTTATAAATGGGTAAGCGGAAAATAATTCCCCGGAAAAAAAATCCCGGAAAAAAATTCCCGGAAAATAAATCCCCGGAAATTAATTCCCTGGAAAATAAATTCCCGGAAATTAATTCCCCGGAAAAAAAATACCCGGAAAATAATTCCCCGGAAAAAAATTCCCCAGAAAATAATTCCCAGGTAAATAATTCTCCGGAAAAAAAATCCCCGGAATAAAATTCCCCTGGAAAATAATTCCCCGGAAAAAATTTCCCCACTATACATTGAATTGCTAATGCATTGCTAAACTGCATTGCTAAAAGGCAATCAATCATTATCAATTATAAATCAATCAAAAATTTATTATGTATATTTTTTTAATTTTTTAAACTTTTTTTAAAATATATTTAAATCATTTTTTTATTATAAATGAAGAATACTGATTAAATGATATAGTATATAATTTTATTTTTATTTAATATTATTAATAAGAAATTTATTTTTCTAGCTTATTAAAACAAATATACATTTTATTCAATTTTAAAAATTAACAAATATATATCCGTAAGAGGGCGTTATATGTTTTAATATGTATCATTTTAGGAAACCGGAATGATGATTGGATAGCATTTTTTTTATATTTGGGTATATATATACATATGAAAAACCTAAAAATTAAAAATTTTTTTTAGGTTTCTTTGATGTTTAATGAGTAGGTTTAGAATAGTAAAACAATGGAAATTTTTTAAAGTAAATATTGCTGGCGTTATTTATCAAAATCTCTTCATTTTTGTTTTATACGTGTATATTTACGTGCTAAGCATTATTCTAAAAAATATTTTGAAAATAATTTGATTTGACCGATTGCCGAGTTCAAAACCGACCACTTATTAAATATTTGATTGATCAAATTTGCTATTAAGATAAATTGAAAAATGTTGATTTTTGTTTTATGTATCTATAAATACGTACAAAACATAATTCCAAAAAATATTTTAAAAATATCGTGATTTGACCCGAAAACCGACCGAATGACCAAATACTGCATTGCTGGCGTTATCCATGGAAAAATCTTCATTTTTGTATTATACGCGTATATATATACGTGCTAAGCATTATCCTAAAAAATATTTTGAAAATAATTTGATTTGACTGATTGCCGAGCTCAAAACCCCACTTACTAAATATTCGATTGATAAAATTTACTAGTAATATGATTCGAAAAATGTTCATTTTTTGTTTTATATATCTATAATTACGAGTAAAACATATACGAGTCGGTTATCCGCCAAACCACGATATTTTTAAAATATTTTTTGGGATTATGTTTTATATGTATTTATAGATATATAAAACAAAAATGAACAATTTTCAAATTATATTACTAGTAAATTTGAATCTAGGAAAATAATTCCCCGGAAAAAAAATCCCATGACCCGGATCTGCTCTGCAGTATTTAATTAAATAGAAATGTTTTTTAAAGTCAAATTTCTTCGAGGATTTGAGATTTTAAATAATAAAACGAAAGTTAAATAAATCTAGTTCACCTTTACACACTTTCATCAACTTTTAGGTATTTATTGAAAAATTATTTTTACACAAATTTTAATCATTTTTTTAGAAATATGATAAAAGGCTTTTCACAGTTTACTGACTCTTAAATAGCGCCCCTTTTTGTTTTTACAAGGATAAGCTATTAAATAATATAATTTTATAAATTTTGTGGCTAAATAGGAAATTAGCAATTCAATCTGATACCCTCTATTTGATAAATATTATTTTACTGAAGTATTTACCTACTTTAAGAATTTAACTGACTGAATACAAAATCACTATAAAACTTGCAAAATTATATTTTTTACTGCCCAATTTTAATTAAATACTGCCAAAAGTAATGAAAAATGCTGACCACTTTAATCAAAATACATCCAGAGGTGATTATCAGCAGTGAGTATTATATTTTTCTAATCTAACAATTATTATTTTGCTTATGAATTTTTTTCAAAAGTTACAGAAAAGAAATAATTATAATTTTATTAAATGATATATAGAATAATAAATTATATTATTCAAAAGAAACAATTCTAGAACGTATATGTTCTCCAATTGAAGAGAGAAAATTGGGCAAGTCCCTTCTCTCTTCTACATAATCAATGCATAAATTTTTTAAAATAGTTTGTTTCGTTGCATAAATACGATTTTTTTTGGGAGTGTATGTCCCAATATTCCATTGGCCGATTTTTCCCATATCAACCGCTATTTCCATCCTTATTT